CTTTGTCGGCGCGCCCCTGTTCTTTAATTATGCCACCTACTTCTTCTCGCTTGCTCAGCTCGATGACCCTTTCCTCGGAAACCTTATCATCCAACTTGTGCTAGTTGCAGGCATTATATCTTCGTTCTATCTCGTTGATAAGACCGGCCGCCGCACCCTTGTGCTCATCGGAGGCGCATTCATGTCTTTGTTGTGCTTCATCGTGGGCGGACTCGGTTTCTTGACGCCAAACGCGGCTACTGGGTCAGCTCTGGTGGCTTTGTCTTCCATCTGGGCCTTCACCTATGCCATTTCTGTTGCCCCAATTGGTATGCTTCATCCTTCGCCTTATCAACTCGGATTCTTACAAGCCGGCAGGATGGATCAGTCTTGTCGAATTGTCGAGTCCGCTTTTTCGCGCCAAGACTACAGCGCTGGCATCGATAATTCAGTCCGCATCGGGCGTGCTTTTCGTAAGCCTTCATTCACAGCTTCATTCCGAGGATCGAAAGAGATTGGCTAACATGGCGAATGAGTAGAACTATACTGTTCCTCTCATGTTGTCCAACCAGAACGCCGGCTGGGGTCAGAAAATTGGTCTCTTTTTTGGAGGCATCTCTGTTGTTTACATGATCCCGGTGTTTTTCATGTTTCCTGAGACAAAGGGTAGGACATATCAAGAGCTGGATGAGTTATTTGAGAGGCATGTTAAAGCCTGGAACTTTGCCAAGACCGAGACATCCCACCAAAGGAGCGTTGATGCAAGGCTTGGTCACTCAATCTGATGATGGAGTTACTGGAAGGCAAGAGAGAGGTCAGTTCGATAGTCATAAGTGGCGTGGCATTGGTGGATTATGAATAAATGGCCACAGAGTCCATCAAAAGCGACTCCGCCACGCTTAACACAAAGTGCCCATAGATTCCAAGGCAGCGCCTCCATGATCTTGAAGGACGCTCAAGGCAATTGCATGTGATTTTGACAGGCGAAATTTTGTGTGATACACGCTAATGCCACGTCGTTTTCTCACTGCGAGATTTTGTTTGGGTGCATTTGGTTTATAGCCGTTAAATTTCCACCACCTGCTGGAGCACGAGGTGTTCTTGATGTCATGAAGCCAAGATCCCAGCTAATTCCTCCGAAACCTTCGAATTCAACGATGTGATGACATCAAGCAACTGCGAGAAAAGTGCATTGGCACGAGCGGCTAAGACCTGATCATCCGTCTGGTGGGCAATGCCCAACAACTCCACGCCGGCCTGGCGCAGTTTCTCTGCCTGCCGAGTTCTCAGTCAAAAGCAATAGATATGGGATTGATTATAGGGTCAGTGTGACTTACGCCTGGTTCACCGTTGGCCTGCAAGCTTTCGAACGGGACCGACTTGACTGCCAAAAGCATGTCGTTGCTGATTTTTAACCTGCGCATGGCGAGCATAGAGCCGTCATTTGTCAGACCAAACAGGTGACACAAGCCGTGTTTCTCCGCTTGTCGAATAATGGCGAGCCGAAGGCAGTGGTATGTGATTACAAGGTTCGTCTTCTGGGCCCAAAATGAGCGACGCTGCTGCAGCGAGACAACTTCATCAGGCGCGGAGTAGGAGTCGGGATTCGCCAGCCATGGCGGCAAGTCGTCAAGAAGCGCACAGAAGGAGAGATAGGCGTGCATGATAGCGTTGGCGCGCGGTACCGGCGTCCCAGCTTCGCTCTGTGGTGCTCGCGCACGCGCGTGGGCAATCATCTTCATGTCAAGGAGGATGTCCGTGCCTGATCTCCAGAGGTGGGTCGACATGTGGAAAGCGGTCATCGTTTTCTCTTCAAATGGAAAGGAAGATTCTCCGTGAAGTAAGCCTACCTGCGACGGGCCCTCGATGGCCAGGGTAATGGGTTGCTCGAGGCATAGATCCATTATCATGGAGGGGACGCCGTTCAAGACTAACGCTGACTTGTCGCCCTGGTACATACACCAAAATATGCGCCGTAATCGCTGTGCCTCTATGTCCTCAACCCCAGTAAGCGACGTCTCGTCATATAGTCGAAGGGTGATAGCCAGAGACCAGGCGGAACGAAGTAGATGCATGGCTGCGCGGATCTTCCCAAAGAAGTGAAGAGTGTTTGACTGGAAATACCGGAGGAGAAGGGAACTTGAATTTGGATGCTCTATGTCAAAGTCTTCATAGCAGGAGAGCATGTTTCTTGATGCCGAGAGAAAGACTTTTGCGAGGTCAGAAGCGTCGTAAGGGGTGACTGGGTGTGGTTCCGCCAGGGTGCACATTACGGCGCAGAGAGCAGTAAGTAATGTGTACGATCTCATCTCTTCGAGAGTGAACCCACTATCATCTTCTCCGCCGTTCACTGATGTCGTGGATGGTGAAACGGGATGCTGCCGGGATGCAGTCAAAAGAGGGATGGCACTATACAGACTCTCGATATGGACCGCGGGACAAAAGGGAAACCTATACATGACAAATTTGTCGATCCATTTGCCGGCGAGGTCCTGGGGTTGTCCATATTTGCAGATGGCTGTTAAGAAATTTCTGTGTGTTTGAAGAGATACCGACTCAACACCAAGGGTGGATTGGCGAGGCGTGCAAGCGTGTTGGCCAGCTCCGATGAAGCTGGCTGTCAATCCTGGTGTTGCTATGGAGCGAGCATGAACTGATTCTGGTGAGTGAGACGATATGACATGATTAGAATGTCTAGCCTCGCTTTCTGACGTGACGTGGTCATCAAGTGGTGCGTGGATTGTGATCGCATCATTGAAGCTCGGCTCGTGTGCTGCTGGTGATGTCGCAAGGGTGTCATTGCCAGAAGGGACTTCGGAGGGCTTCTGGGCGATAGGCTTTGGCCCTCGTCTTCGTCGGGGTGCCTCGTACTTGCATGTGGTCCCGTAAAGCTGGCAATTCCGGCACAGGGGCGCCTTGGAGTCGCACTTGATCTTGCGGACGCGACAGGCGTCGCACGCCATGGTCGACACGCTGCGTCTCATCGCCCGAATTGGCTTGGACGGCGTGACTTGCACACGTTGAGGTGATTGGAGTATCGAATAAAACCCCAGGTTGGTAGCTCGTTCGTCTGTTAGTTTGCGGACACCAGTACCTGGACGATGGGCTGCCTTTAAATTTCCACGGAGAAACTAGCCACCAGCCGTGGTCGGCCTTATACCCTCAACTGTGCGGGGTTGCAGGTTGATCATGGCGAACATTTGCACTGGCGCGGTACGGAACATACGACAATGGGACTGTGGCGTTCCGTTTTGCCTGGGTGAGTGGTAATCTTTTACCAAAGGCATGTCGCGGTGTTGTCGATTTGCCTGCGCGACACCCGTAAATGTCTGTCAGACCAAGCAGGGATCGCTCGCCAAGAAGCATGACGCTCAGTGTCCGGTACTCTGCCAACCTCAGCGTGGAGAAAACTACAGAAGAGATCGCGTGTCTGTTTCCAGGTTCGGCGCATCACGAGCAGTTTTGAACATGTCGGACGTGTTCGAGCCTAGAAAGAGTCACAGGTAGTCAACAATGGACCTGTTCGCTCAGTGGGCGATGATCGGTCTTCGCTTTCGGAGTTAACCAATCCACGAAAGACCCCTCACAAATGTTATGACGTGTAACGGCATGGACGTTCGCTGACAAACGTCCAACCCGGCTCAGTACAATAACGTTTCGTACAACTGGCACCCATCCTTTGAGCAGAAATCGTTCGATAGCCCATCTTGACGTCCAGCACCTTTCATAGCATTTCAAAATGGCTCCTGCGAGGATCGGCGTCGTCACTGGCGCAAACAAGGGCATCGGCTTGGCCATCGGTAAGAGTCCCCGTCGTAATTTGTGACGAAGACCTAGCCGGCTTACTCTCGCTATAGTCCGTCAACTGGCGCTTCAGTACCCAATGTCACACATTGAGAACGGCTCATTTTTGATCTATCTGACCTCCCGCGACGACATCCGCGGCAGAGAAGCTGTCGCATCTCTAGAACAGGAACTCCAGAAATCTAGGGTCCTGGCTACAGAAGGGGGAACCACTGAAATCAAGCATCATCAACTGGATATCTCCGACTCGAAAAGCATTGAGACGCTTGCAAACTTCCTTGGCAAGGAGCACCCAGATGGCATTGATTTCGTCATCAATAACGCCGGTATTGCCCTCGAGGGCTTCAGTAAGTCCGAGATGATCGAGACGGCGACGACGCCAGACTGACGGTCGCCAAGACAATGATGTGGTGAAGAAGACGATCGCGTGCAATTACTACAGCACGCTGGAGGCCACGCGTGCCTGGATCCCCACCCTCAAGTCCGATGGCCGCATCGTCAACGTGGCCTCCATCTCCGGCGCGCTAAACAAGTACTCCCGCAGCATCAGGGACCGTTTCATTAAGGCAAAGGCCGTCGATGATGTCACGAATCTCATGGAAGAGTTCACAGCTGCCGTTGCGAAGGGTACGCATGAGGCTGACGGATGGCCCAGTGCTGCGTATGCCGTGTCGAAAGCTGGCGAGATCGCGCAGACGAGGGCGATTGCAAAGGAATTGAAGGACGACGGCAGCAAGATTCTCATTAACTCTTGCCATCCCGGCTGGGTCGTGACTGATATGACCAAGGGCAAGGGGACGAAGACGGCCGATCAGGGAGCGCAGACGCCGGTCCAACTGGCGATTGAGGATATTGGCGGCAAGTCCGGCACGTACTGGTCTGACGAGAGGGAGGTCGACTGGACTGCTTGAAGTGGGTTGGCTAGCTTGGACAGCAGTCCATATCAAAGTAGCGCGGCGGAACAGCCAACATGTCCACCGATATCTTGAGCTTCTTCTTACATCAGTCAGTCGGATTTACGGCTGAAGGGCTGCAGCATGGCGAAGATCACCGAGGGAAAGCCTAGTTTCATATATTCCTACCCGTATTGAGCATCTATGTACACCTTTCCGTCCCTCATGAATTGTGACCTGTGCATGCTACGCCCGAAAACGCCGCGCTTCGTGTGTGCAATGCCTCATCCTGAAAAGCGAAAAGGTATTCGGGCACAAACTTCCTCAAACAAGGACATACTTCTCCGTCTTCACCTTGCCGTCATTCAAATCATCAACCAGTTGCACGTGAGCCTTCTCCTCCTCCTCAGTGAAGGCCATGAAAATTCCGTTTAGCAGTACATAATCACCCCGATCACAAAATTTGCGTATCGCAAACAGCGAATCCTCCGTCGCACCCTTGAACGACACAATCGGGTCACCAACGCGGACGCCCGTCACGCGTTCGGCGACACCGAGGATGCCGGCATCAGTGAGGAAGTACTGCGCCTCGTGGAGCCACTTGAGCAGTTTTGCGTTGTAGAGCGACCAGATCTCGCGTTCCTCCGTGGGTAGCCCGTCCGTTGTGCGGGTCACGATGGCGCCGTACCACGTCGTCCACTGTTCGGGGGTGAAACGGACATCCTGACCGCCGGTGAAGGCGGCACGGAGGGACCCGACAAATTCGACGCGGCGTTCTTCACGGGACTGACCGGGTCGCGGGTGATAGGTGACGAGATATTCGGTCTGTATCAAGACGCGAGCAAGCTGGGCGTAACAGTCGGCATCAGTGATGGAGCTGTCTGGGTCCTCGGGAATGGTCGATGGATCTTGCACATAGGCAATGGTGTAGCGATGAGCGCCTTTGACTGTGAGGCGACGTAGATCTTCCGAGAAGACGACATCATCACTACCAGGAACGATGCCACCGCGTTCTTTGGGAGGATAGCCTTTGAACCGCAGCGAACGGATTTGCCAGGATCCAGCCCATATGTGAGTCCAGTTTGGTGACCACGAAGGCAGCCCCTCATCGCGGGAACGATGGTCGGAGAGACGCAGGAAATCGAGATCGCGTGTGCGCAAGATGGTGGCAGCCGTCACCTCGCGATAAAGCGCGTGGACAGGCTTTCGATAATCAATGTCGACATCCTGGCTCTTAGGGCCGCAAATACCGAGCAGCGAGTAAATCATGTCGCGGGGATCCGTTAGCTCGCGGCCACGACAGGTTCGCAGCAAGTCAATCAGGTCGTTGGCAAAAACGCCATGATCGGTGCGCTCGCGACAAAAGTTCATGGCTCTGATACCGAAAAGGTCGAAGATGCGGTTCGAACCCGGGAACAGAAGACTTGCTCGGTGGTCCTGGCCGAATTTGGCGATGCCGTCGGCGGCGGCGGCTATTGCGCTCCAGGACAGCTGATGCTCACCGACTTGAAGGGTCACACTTTCAGAGAGGCAGACCTCCTGAATGACCCACTGTCGACGAAAGTATGAGCGTTCGGTCAGCTTGAGGAGGGTGAAAAGAGCGACAGGTGGATGGCGGGCGACAACTTCAGGATAGGCGTCAGATCCAGCCTCTTCAATTGCGCGGGCAAGGTCAAAAGCAGCCCCAATGTCCATATGCTCGCCTGGATTGAGTTCGTCTTCATCCTCCTCCGGAACGCCGACCCAGCAAATGACAGCCTCGCTGCGCAAGTAAATCTTGTTCATGAGGCGAACCTGGTAGTTCTTCTCAATAACATTGCGCTGATCGATGCAAATCGAGTCGAGCCAAACAGTACGAGGCTTGTCTTCGTAGCGCAGGTGGTCTAACGCCTTTTCGACATTTTCGGTGACGAGAAATGGAGCGCCGTTGATTGTGATGGGCTGCGTGAACGTCGCCTTTTTCCAGGTGTAGGAGAGAGCTAGGTAACTGGGACAATCATCGGCAAAGTGGCGCGTCAAATGGCCAACAAGTGGTTCGCCTTGCTTGCCAGGTTCAATGGTCAACAGTCGGATGGCGTTGAGGCCATGAATGGCAGGCAGGGCTTCGAGGGTCTCGACGTAATTGTTGACATGGTAGCCATCAAGCAATGGCGCGTGGCTGTAGGCCTTTAAAGAGCCCATGATGCTGTGCAATGTCGCGAGCGATAAAGAGCGAGGCGAGGAACGAGTGACGGTGACGGTCCGACACGAGCAAGTGGCGATAAGAACAACTGTAGACGTCCATGACAGGTTGGCAAGCGGCGAGTCTGGGCTTTAGTACCGAAAGCTCCGTCGTCGAGTGATGGTTGTCTGATGTATAGCCGACTGTCAGGCGGCCTCAGACCCCTATTGGGTCATGATCCATGCTTCTGCCCTACGTGATAGAGGATTGCATGCGATGGTACGTGGCTGTGACTGCATTGCTGGCTGCATTTACTGGACGAAGGGACTTTGGTGGGTGGCCCCTAAGACCTCCCCCGTCTCATCCTACCAGGACCAGGAGGTGAACGTAGCCTCACGTCGCACAAAGTGGAAAATGATCTTGGCGTCAGCGTTCTCGCCCCCACGACATACGCTGCGCGGGGTTAAAAGCTTGTGCGTGACCTGTGCGTCGGCGTCCCTTCGTAGTCCCTGTCGAAGGATCTCTGACATGGAACTTGGGTGAACTGCCTACCTGCAGGAGCAGGGATGCAGTGAAAGTGGCGAAAGACCGCTATTGATGATGGGCCTGCTTCAAGGAGGGCGACCCCGCCTCGACGCTGGGGTTTTGTCGAGGCTCATGTTTGCGGGAGAGCGAGAGAGCTGACGGAAAATGAACGAGGTCGACGCAGTGAAGACCTTCTCCTCTAATCGATGTCCATGTTGACTGGGCTGGACTGGCTGCCCGTTGCTGGCAGAAAATTTGGCCCAAGCCACTCCGACGTTGCCCTGGAACCTGGCGAGCGCTTGCCGCAGCGACGCGGCTGATCTGTTGAGCACGTCCGCCCCTGTAGTGTATCACAATGTTCGAGGCTGTCGCCAGTGTGTTCAGAGGCGCTACGGCTTCTTGGAAATCACTCGCAGTTCTTCGAGGTACTGTGGTCCAAGTCGGACCTACTTTCCGTCAAGTCATCATTCGAAAAGGTTCTTGTCTCTCCGTCAAGAAGACACCAGAGCCCTTGATATTGCTGTCGGTCGTGTGTTTCGGTTTCGGGAGCACGATCACCTTCATTATGAGTGCCCATGGTGAAAGCTGTGCGCGCGCGTTCTCAGCGGTAGAAACAGCCAGAATAAATCAGTTGCTCCTCATCCTAGATGACTGTTTCTTTTACCGAAAACCCTGTTGCAAGATTCATCGAATGCTGGCAAGAGTCCATGTGTGGCCCTCCACAGACGTCTACAGAATACGGGCCAGTTTCTGTCGAATTATGCTTGATTACAACGAGCAAGTCGGTCAGTATCGGGCGGAGAAACACCAAGCCTTGATGATTTCGTCTACTCTTCAGCTCTTTTGTTTTCACAAAGGCAGATGTTCTATGAGCAGCGACGACCACGGCATTCGACTTATCGGTATCGGTCGCTGGTCCCCGCCCTGCTGGGTCTAATACACGCCCTGTGGCGGGGTAATCGTGACCGCACGCCCTGTCCCATCTGAGGCGCCAAGGCCGCGGTACCAAAGGGTAACAGTGCAAGTCGATCAAATGACTTTTTAGAATACCTAGATATCAAGAGAGCATCTACAACAGTACCTCAATTTACCGCCTTGCTGACTTTCCTCTTCTCAGTGTGGCTCCAAACCCCCCAGAGATCGTGCAACCATGGCAAGCCTTTTCCAGGGGCTAGCATCGCCCCTTGACGCATCACGACTTGTCTTCTCGAGATCTACTGCTAAGCGTCCTGTGCCCCTACCCGGCTCGTCTGAGCTGTGGGCCCAGAATGTATGTTGCGACCACATGCTGACTTGTCGATGGACTGTTGAAGGAGGATGGGAAACACCTGAAATCAAACCATACGGAGACCTCAGCATTTCTCCAATTGCTTCCTGTCTTCATTATGCCACCCAGTGCTTCGAAGGCATGAAAGTGTATCGAGGATTTGACGGAAGGCTGAGGCTGTTCAGACCCGACTTGAATGCGAAACGTCTCAACATGAGCGCGCAGAGGGTCGCTCTGCCCGGCTTCGATGACGCCGAGTTGGTCAAGCTCATTACTGCCCTGGTAAAGGAAGACGCCCCACGTAAGGACGTTCAGAGACGCATGAAATCTGTGCAAGTCTTTTCTGACACTCGGAACGAATAGGCTGGCTTCCTCAAGATCAAACCGGACGTTTTCTCTACGTTCGACCAGCGATTATCGGCAACGGCACCCAACTCGGCGTGCAGCTTCCCCGAGTCGCGACTCTGTTCGTCGTGATGGTGCCCTGGCCGGACTTTTCGATGGAGCTGCCTCCAAATGCAAAGCCGAGAGCCGTTCCTGGGCTTAGACTTCTTGCTTCGCAGGGCGAGACGACTCGCGCTTGGCCGGGAGGCTTTGGGTATGCCAAGGTCGGTGCCAACTACGGCACGACTTTCGTCGCCCACGGCAAAGCCCTCGAACAGGGGTTCGACCAGATTCTGTGGCTTTTTGGGACTGATGGAAGAGTAACGGAAGCCGGCGCAAGCAATTTCTTCGCTATCGTTAAAAATGAAGCAAGTGGCAGGGCCGAACTTTTGACCGCGAGTTTGGATGATAATCTTATCTTGGACGGTGTCACACGGCGCTCCGTCCTGGAGCTGGTTCGGTCGAGGTTGTCAAAAGAGCTGTCTGTTTCCGAGACTATATTCACCATGTCTGAGCTCAAGAAGGCCTGGGAGCAAGGTCGTTTGCTAGAGGCTTTCGTGTCAGGAACCGCCGTTGGTACCCGCTGTTCGTTGCAGTCAAGAGCTCTACTAATTCGATTTTGCAGTATTTTATCACGCCGGTATGCTCGATCAACTACGAGGGTTGTGACCTAGACGTGCCACAAGAACGCCAGGCTGTCGGTGCAAGCTACGCTAGCATCATCAAGGGCTGGCTGAAGGATATCATGTACGGCGGGGAGATTCACCCCTGGGGGCTGGTGGTCGAAGATTACGAACATAAATAGTCAGATAAGATGTGTCTTCACCAAAATTGCAGCCCAGTGCAAGCAATTTGGTGTATTTGAAGTGCTCACTCGATCAAGTCCGACCTCGGACAGACCTCAAGATGACACCGCTGTATGGCGTTTATGCAGTGGGGCCTCGTATTAGTGAGTCAGTCAGAGTACTACGTCTGCACGGTATATAGTCTGATGATCCTACTTTCTCGCGTTATACTTCGGTTTTCTTAGTCCTCAGCAGAGTAGGCCTGAACACTCATCTTTGGTCCGTCACCGTGCGATCCTTTTCGGGCGTATCTCAGCCGCCTCAGATCATCTTTGCCATGGCAGGAAAGCAATCCCACTCCTTAGGTGCAGTGCCCCAGTCCGTCTAGCAGTCTCTCCAATGATTCGGCTTTTGCGACTTGGTTTAGTTTTGTTTCGTGAATCTCGCTAAAGCGCACAAAGGTCTTCTAGGACGATACTACGCGGTACGTCACGATCTCGGCCACTATCGGTCTGCTGCTGTCACGGCTACGTACACTGTCGATCTGCCCTGCCAACTCCAGACATCTGTTTGGCTGCGCAACACGTTCGAGAGGGCTCTTCAGTACACCATCCTTGGCAATCCAGGACTTTGTTTTGGTATCGAAAAGAGCGGACCGGAATGTACCGCAGGGTTCAAACAGCTGGCAGAGATCCAGAGCGGCGATGTCGTGAAGTACCTTAAGATTGATGTCGTTCACGCTGGAATGAGTGTCGATGACCATCTCTCTCGAGTGATAGGGGCTGCCCACTCGTATCAATGGGTTGCCGGCAAACCAGCTTGGAGGACTATCGTTAGCTATCAAGCAAGTACGAAAAGCGCCCCCGGAGCCAAAGAGGCTGAAACCTCGCGAGTCACTATCAACGTCACTTTCCTGGCCCATCATGCAATCGCTGATGGATTGAGCGGAATGGCTTTTCACATGTCTCTGATGAGTCACTTGGGGGAGGTTCCGGAGGTTGGTATAGAGGCGGCATGGCCCTTGAGTCTTCCTCATGACGTGCCGGCCCCAGCGTCAATCGACCACTTGCTCGGCCTGCACGACATATCGGACAACGTATCTGAAGAAGTCAATGATCCAGTGTGGGCCGGCGGTGCGATATTACTACCGTCGACTAACGAGGACACATCTCGTGTTCGTCTCATCACGATTTCGAACGACAGATTGCTGGAGATACTCGATGTATGCAAGCGGAATCGTACAACCCTCACAGGACTGCTTCACGGCCTGATATGCGTTACTCTTCTTCGACATGTCGAAGACGCGCGAGCCTTCCGGTCCGTGACTCCTTACTCCATTCGAAAATTCACCGACGCTGATGCAATGGATATTGTCAATCACATCTCCTTCATAACCCAGTACGTTCCAAGCGCCGTGCTCGACGAACTTCAGGCAACAAAAACAGGGTCTCCTGCCGAGTCATGCTTGATTCTCAAGATGGCTTCTGCTTTCGGCGGCAGCATGAAAGCTGAGCTTGGCAGATTCCCCAAGAACAATGCTTGGGCGACCCTCCATCATATCACCGACCTCGAGGCGCACTGCAGAGACCAGATAGGCACAGCTCGTGAGTACACGTACGAGCTTTCAAACCTGGGAACCATGCGGGTGGCGCCGACGACCGGAGGCGGTATTATCCTCGAGCGACTGATTTTCACGCAATGTGGCATGGTAGCCGGTCCGGCGCTTGGCATCAACTGCGCCAGCGTTCAAGGCGGCCCTCTGATCATCAGCATCACGTGGCAGGACGGTATCGTAGAGGAAGATCTTGTCGGACATGTAGCGCGGGAGTTGGAACAGAGGCTGGTTACTGCCTCTGATACGTTTGCAACCGTTTAACAATTTCATTATTCTCTCATCTTGACCATACATTGGACCACCAGCTACGCCTAAATGTTGAGCTCCTCGTGGTGGTGCTGTCTGTTAAGCGAGGAGGAAATCATAGCAGCGCCAATAAAGCACAGAGAAATCATGATTGTAAGCCAAAAGAGAGTGTCCTAAAGTTGCTGATGGGACCAGAGGCGATGTCGAAATGGTTGGCAAGGCGTGAACACGCGATTGCAAAGGCGCTGTCGCAGGGCGTAAGAAAGGCGCGACTTAAAGGGCGTAGTGCAACGGGCTTGAAGCGCTCCGTCTTAAGCACCCCCCTGTGACCAGTGAAGGAGGATTGTGTTCCGATGGAGCAGCCAAACACTGCGAAGCAGCTGGCAAGCCGTATCTTTGTGACAGACTCATCAAGAAAAGAGAACCGTGGCAAACAAAGTGCAAAACGAATGGCTCATCATTGTTCCCGACGCTGAGGGAAAATTGGAGGAAAGGATGAGGGTCAGAGCGTATGTCCAGGATGACGGCTTGCCTTCTTTATCCCGCCTTGCGATGTCCCAATTAACAATCTACAGTACTCATATTGACAATGTCAAGAAGCATGTCGACTCCGGCTTTTTCCAAATGGGCGGGGCAATGCTGCGCGCCCAGCCTCAGGAGCAAGAGCTAGACATTAGTGGCAGCATCGTTGTAGCTCGTGCTGCAACGGCTGAGGAAGTTCTGGCTGTGCTGAAAGAGGATATCTATGCTCACACAGGCGTCTGGGACCTGAAGAACGTTCAAATCTACCCTGTTCGTGCTCTGGTGCTTTCTTTTCGCATTTACAAGCACACTGCTGATGAGAGTGTGCATATGTAGTTCAAATGTGTGTACCGAAAGGCGCTGGAGTGATGTCAGGCTTGTGGAGTACCGAGGATCGGTTGGGTAGCCAGCCCCTCAGTATACATGACCTGACCTACCTTCTTAGGTAGCTTGTAGCTGATTCATTGCCTTTAAAGGCACAAATACCCCCAAAGACATGGCCTGTGCAGTGAAGCAATCGTCGATATTGAAAGAGGGCATCACCACATTGCGAACTCCAGAACTCCTTGCGCAGTACGAACGCCGTTATGGTGTCTGGTGTGGTCCAGAGGGGCACTCAATTGGCGACAGAACAGATCAAACTCCCTCCCCTCAGAGACCATCATGTGGCCGTCAAGGTTGAGTGGGCAGCTTTCAATCCAACAGATCGTGAGTATCAGGATCCAGCACATTACATATTGAGCCCACGTCTCACACTCTGAAGGGCTCGCATTCGATCTCAACGCATTTGGGGACGGCGCTGTGCTGGGCTGTGACTTTGCAGGTGTCGTTGTAGAAACACACCCGTCCGTCACCAGACTGGCTGTCGGCGACCGAATTGCTGCCCTTGTATGGGGTGGTAAGTGGTCAGCCCGTTCTTCGAGTATCAGGCAAAATATATCTGACAATGATGGTCCGCTAGGCGAGATCAAAGGGCTCGGGGCATATTCGTACGCAGCATCTCTACTCGTTGCCCGAATTGGTCGTTGACTTGCTAGGACACACTGCCATGCCGACGAACGCATCTCCTTCAGGGTCCCCGACACATTCAGCCACTCGAGCGCATGCTCCGTCCCTCTCGCTGCGAACACTGCCTGGCTTGCGCTGTTTTCTCAGGACTGCCTCGCGCTGGGCAGAGAGACTACCGCTCTAAGGCCACCCATCCTGATCTGGGGAGGAAGCTGTAAGATACCCTATTGAGAGACACAGAAGAGCCGGCCTGCTAACCATTGCGGCAAGCCACTGTCGGCTACTTCGCCATCCAGATGGCGAGGTTGCACGGCCATGCCGTCATCACGACATGCAGCCCCCGCAACTTTGAGTTGGCGAGACGAGCGGGAGCGACTCACGTCTTCGACTATAACGATCCAGAAGTCACAGCCAAGATTCGCTCCGCTGCACCGGACTTGGCTCACGTTTTCGATACCATCGGTTCGGCGACGTCCTCGGCTACGGCATGCGAGGCGATCGACGGCCGGCCTGGAGTCTTGTGCACCGTCCGGCCGGGCAAGGCCAACACGGGGAACGTGCCGCAGAACGTCCAGGTCACGGATGTCTTCGTGTTCACAGCCTTTCCGACGCCGCATTCGTACCGGGGGGCGGCACACTGGCCCGTACGTATCGGAGACGTTGTTCTCGCACCCACGTTGTGCTCTCGTTGCTGACGCTTCATGTGACGCAGATCAACATGCCGGACCATGAACTGAGCGTTGAGCTGTACGATCAACTGCCGACGCTCCTGGCGGAGGGGAAGCTCGTGCCTCCAGCGGTCAAGGTTGTGGGGGAGCTGGGTCCAGAGACCGTTGCCGAGGCCATGAATCTCAACCGCAGTGGCAAGATATCGGGGGAGAAGCTTTGCTTCAAGTTGTCGGTGGATGCTGCTGACGAGACTGAGGGTGCAAAGTGATGGGGCCATCATTCCAGAGGTCACTAAAACACTCAATGCTTGCAACAGGGGTTCGCTGATGCCGGTGATCTTTTCATGCTACCTCATTTTCTTGCTGTGATTTTTTACGCTACAGATGGACGTTTGCCCCCGAAATCTGTATTCGATCCAAGCTCTTTGGTCTCACCGAAATTCGAAAGATTAGATGAACGAAAGGTCCTTAAGCAGTAAGAATAGCATTTTTATACAGGTGAGTAGTGCATTCCAGGCGGGGGGGATTATGGAAAAGACGAGGGAGGCAAATGTCCTCTACTTGGGGACTTGACGTAGTCCCATGGCAGATCAAGCATTCAGAGCAAAGGGACTGGTCTAAAGACGCAGTCAAATCGTTGGCATATTGCCTGCAAGCGGCAGCCTTTGGCAACCATCTGGCTCAATATAGAAAACAGCAGACATGAGGTCATCAATATACGTCTAGGCTGATCAAGAATCACGTGCTACGCATGTCGTCCTCGTGTGAAATCGCGATGAGAACCCCTCCCCATCTGGTCTCGGGAATTCGCGGACGTCTCAGTCTCAGACATAGGGCCTGGTGACCGACGAGGCAACCACCCGCCCTCGTGCCAGCCATCCCGACCCTCCAACTCCGGGCAAGACCGTTGACCTTGAGCCATCTTCACTATGTCGGGTGAATTGATGTAATGTCTCACATAAATAGTGTCCAATGCTACAATACTCCAAATTGCCCTCAGTATGGAAAGTCTGACCCAGAGCTCTCTCGATGTCGTGACAACAAACAATGGTACAAAGAGTAAAATGCTATTCATATCAGAGCGTACAGAGTCGCCGGCTGCCATGATTTCAAAAAAAGGACAAGTGAAAGAAAAGCTACGTTCTCGTACAGAGTCCCTCACACACCATTCCATCATCGCCAGATGGCCAGGATAAGAGGGCCAGTCCGCAGCGGGCGCTTTGCCTGCCTCGAAAAGCGTCAGAGGCATCAATTTCCCCCTCCCGCGAGACGAAGAGGCGGAGACAATGTACAGGCCTCTCCAGTCAAGCAAAGAGAAAGGGGCAGAAGCATCCTCCACGGCGGACCTGTTACGAGCCGTCTCCCAACACGATCCAAACTCCGGTGGCAGCGTCCTCTATCACGGTCGTCGTCGCCACATCGTCTGCGTCTCGCTCGCGCGGCAGGACAGCCCACTCCGTCTCGTCGTCAAGCTCATTGTCCTCGTCACGCTCAGGCCTCTCGTCGCTCTCCTCCTCTTCGGCCTCGTCGGGGATCAGCTCGGGCGTATGTCCGGCAGCCGGCTCATCGACGGCCGGCAGGGACCGCCAGACGGTGCGGTAGCCCCGCCTGTGACGACCCTCGGCGGCGGCGGCCATCTCGCGGGACTCGGAGAGCAGATAGCGCGCCACATCGTCGTCGTCCTCGAGCCCCGTGAAGTCCCAGTCCATCTGCAGCGCCAGGCTCTCGGTCGTGGACGCCCTGCTGCGCGTGGCTGCGACACCGCGATGGTTGCGCTTGGTGGCCCGGCGGTGCGAGGTAGCGCGGGTTGTGATGGAGTAGACGGGCTCGTCGCGGACAATGGCGTCTAGGCCAAAGCCCGCACCCCGCGTGTGGTCGTCATCGTAGAGGAGACCGAGCCTGTAGAGCTCGGCGACGTCAGCATCGTCATCGTCGCCGACGAGCCTCGCGGCAGCGGCAGCGGCAACGGCCACAGAGGAGCGCTTCGTGGTGCGGGGGTCCCAGAAGGCGTTCTGGCGCTCGAGCGAGGGGACGCGGTCGCGCGAGCCGTCGCTCGGTAGGGGGACGGCACTGCGGGCAAGGCGGATGCCGTCGTGGTCCGAGTCGGGGGCGGCGCCGTGGTGACGGCGGGCGCGGTGGTCGTTACGGCGAGGGACGTGGACGTGGGCTTCGCGGGAGAGGACAGGGAGGTCTTCGGGGGCGAAGCCACGCTCGAGGAGGGCGCGGGCGACAGCCTTGGGGTGAGCGGATCGGGGCTTGCGGATGGCGGTGGGACGGGGGCAGGTGATAGGGAAGTGCTTGGCCGCGAAGGCCAGGTCGACAGGCGAGTTGTGAAGAGCAAGGCCCATTGTGTCGTGTGGGTTGGGTGGGTTAAGTAGGTGCGTTGTGTTGCGGCTGTGCTGCAGTTGTCTTAGGCAGTCGTCTCAGGCAATCTTCTTAGGCAGTCTTCTTAGGCAGTTGTCTTCCGCCAGGATGTAGAAAGTCGATGCTGTGTCGAGATGTGTCCTGATGAAAAGTTGACAGATGCGCAAGGGCGCGGAAGGGCGCGGTGGTGGTGGTTGTGCTAGGTGACAGATGGAAGGGCAGGGAGCTGGGGGGAAGGGGTGCGAAGGTTCGAGGACGGGCTTATATGTCATCTGACGAACAAGCAAGACAGCCGGGCTGTTACGGATGCGATAAGGCTTTGTTGCGCCGTATTCAGGTTGAGTGAGCCACGGCCACGGTCAGCATGGCCAGGCGAGAGCGAGGGTCGAGAGCAGCCCAGGAAGAGGCGGGCAGCGAAGAGTCACCGGCCGGCGGCGCGCAACGACAACGACGCCATGGTGGTGACATTGACGCGATGCCTCATTGGAGGATAAGGGAGGTCATGTTGCCGGTGGGGTGTCTTTAGCGTGTGTAGGAGGATGGATGGCGATGGCCAAGGTGATGATGGTGATGGTGGATGTAGATGGTGTAGGTAGGCAGTGGAGAAAGGGAAGAGGCTGAGGCTCAGTCGTCGATGCGCAGGTGACTCAACAGACCCGAGGGGTGTCCCCGAGCGAGCCAAGGGGTGCCCCCAAAGAGAGCAGAGCCAGGTGACTCATGACGGCCACTGACAGCCCGTCGTGCCTGGCCTTTGTTGGGCCCTGGCGCCTGGTGTAGGGGGTCCCGGGGGTCCTGGGGGTCCTGGGGGTCCTGGGGGTGTCCTTGCCTTGTCCCCTCTGGCCCCGGGCGCAGCTCCAGCGCGCATTGCCTCACCATGCCGTCCCCGAAGGGCCCTGTCATTGGCGCGATCTGCTGCTGGGGGTGGTACGGGAGAGGTGCACGGGGCTGGAATGCAGCCCCGTCATTGGGGAGGCCTGGGAGGTTGCCTGGGCGGATGATGCCATTGCTGTTTCTGCCTTGACCGCGGTGCCTCGCCCTGCTTGTCCTGCTTTGTGGGTGTTCCCAGTGCCTCTTCGTCCGTGTCATCCATCTGCCTGCCGCATGACAATGGTCGTCCATCTCGATCAGTGGCCTGGTCGCCAGGTCGGTTGCTGTCCTGGCTGGCTTGTCTCGCTCTCTTGGTGTCCCATTGTCGGTCGGATAACTGCGCCGGCTGCTTTCGTCCGTCCCCCAACACAATTCCTTATCTTCTCTGCTCTGGAATACCCCAAACGAAACGCCTGCAGCCTGCCAACCTGCCGCCTGCAGCCTACCGCCGCCCGCTGCCGCTGGCCCAACGCGGAAATGCGCCCTGGTATTTCGGGCTTGGTAGCCTGGAGCTGGGCCAGGCGGCTGACTGTTGCCGTCCGGGATCCCACGCCCTGAATTGCGCGACCCACGCTGAGCCCTCCAAAGTGCTCGGTTGCTGAACGAATGGCGTGCGGGGAGTGGCTTTCTTCTGCTGTACATTTCATGGTCCCACATCAAGTGTCATAACACCGTTTCTCTCCACTCCTCTGGAAGCGCAATTTTGGCCTCTGTACACAAGTCCGACAATGTGAAGGGCTCACACTGCGGCTGCGTCGTAGGTTCGCTCTGGCATGAGGTGCCTACCTCATGCATTGGTCATCACAGGGTCGTCTTTGGGTGAGAAATAGTACATGCGAGACCTGGCGATCGGCGTTTGATTGGTCCATGGCATCCCGATCTCGTACTGAGGCCGATTCAAGCTGGACGGAGCCGGTGGGAAAGAAACAGCCCTCAGATGACATATCCCAGAGACCCAGACGAAAAGAAAACTTCTGCATAGCTTGTCAGCACAGGCGCGCCATAAGCTTGCCAGCGCGCACGTGCTGTGTTGAAGACTGAGGGACCTCAGAGGCTGGATTAAGGGCCTGAGACGACGGAACGCGTATAGAAGAGCTAGGCAGGGCCCTCCTTGCTGCGAAGAGTCAGACAGCATGATGTCTTCTAACCCCCTACCGAACAACTGACTGCGAATATTACGTGTGCAGAAGACCTCTTCATGAAGCTAGCTGCCAATCGTAAGTAAAATTGACACTAACTTGCAGTATTGAGGTAAAGCAGATACTATATGAACAGATACAAATCACGTTACACGTCCCGTAGTGCAGTCAAACTCTATGAGCCTGTTTAGTAGATCTAGTCACCATAGTTATCTTCCATGCGTGTAGTAGTTCGCCACTCCTTAAGCACCCTGGCTGAAAACTGGACATCTGGATGTATGAGACCAAGCTCCTTCTAGTGTAAGGAAACGAAGTCTTGCAGCAGAATATAAAGCAAAGATGACTTTATACAGGCACCTATTCTTTCACCTTTAGCAGCAAACCTTGAGGGGCATGAGAAGACAACCCTGTTAAAAACGACCGTCTATAGTACCTTCGCATAGCGAAAGAATATATCAAGTTTAGCAACTTTATGCTTGACAGCCCTGTAGGTCAGCTACGAGTCGAGCACATAATCTCCTCTCGCTGGCTTTTGCTACTTCATCGTCCATACTATCAACCATGAGACAGCTGAGTACCACATCAGCATATACATCACCACAGACCCATCTAAGGCGGTCTAGATACTCTCGACAAATCCAGCGACGGCGCTCATAATGGTCTTCATCTTCAAGACTGGGGACGCTATAGTTGCTCAGTTCTTCCCACAGTCCGACTTCGAGCAGAAGGATACCGAGGGAGTATACATCGTATGCATGGCGGTACTGACGCTTTGGGTTCGCGTGCTTTGCAGGATGCTGATAGTAGTCAAGTGTAAAGCCGCTGACCTTGATGTCCTTGATTTCTTCGGTCACGGTGAGCCTATTGACCATGTCGCGGCCGTTCATGCTGTTAGCTTGAGGGGCTCCCCGTCTTCGTGTTTGTCTGCCTTGATCATCTGAATGGCACATGTCATCTACCCACACCCCGCTGGATACTTTTGCATAATTTCGCGTTATATGTCGTTTGCGATTTGGCGGAACATGTAGTTGGTCCGTATGACCTGTAGGCAACTGAACGATGTCGTCTGGACGCGAGAAGATGTACCCCATCAAAATAGGCTTAGACACATCAATGTCGATCCTGATTTCGTACCGATCCTCCCGGAGCGCATTTACGTGTTCCGGAAAGAATATGACTGACTCTGCGCGGATATTCTTGTGCAGCCAACCGCTGGAGTGAAGCAAGCAAACGGCCTGAACGATATTCCTGGCCAATTCAAATCGTGCTCCAAGCGTCGACCGGATGCCCTGCAGGTGCTTGGTCCCAAGAAGAGACTTCAGAGTCACGGGGGCACGAAGCTTGAGGTTTTCAACAGGTCGTTCGCGACTCTGGAGTCCAATCGTGTTGGGGAGCCTGTAGAGAATACTGCAATGGCCTCTATGCTCGCCATCGGTATGGTCTATCATTCCGGCGATGTTCAGACCATAGACGCTCTTCATTGCGCCCTCTCCTTGAAAGATATTGTAGAAGTTCTTGATGAGAGCGCGAAGCATTGGGTCGACTGGTCTGACAGGCTTGATCGGTTCGTTGTCACCTTCGTCACTGCTGACGTCTCCGGGCACCCCATCCAGAAGCGCTTTGGCCTGGACCAAATGATGTGAGGCCATCAAATTCGCCGACAATGACTTCAAGAAATCCTTTCGGCGCCGCTGACGCTTGTTCTTATTCTTTTGTTCCGGAGTGAGGTCAGGTGGCGGGCCGCGATAGTCTCTCATCTCAACGTAGACAACCTCGTCTTCAAACAATGCAAGGCTCTTGCCTAAATAGTTCATCTCCGGCTGCAATTGATCGACGCTGGCCGTTAAGCTGTCGTCGGCTGGTCCTTTGCTTCTGTTCTCATTGACCGAAGCTTTCAGGGTAGCAGCCGAAGCTAGAAGTTCGTAGCCCTCTCGCACTGAGGATCTCTGATCAACCACTGCATGCTCGGCTGCGATCCTTGAAATCCATTTTAGAGCCGCCGGCGATTCCTGCCTAGCCAAGCAATCCATAGTGAGGTAGATGTTCATCGACCCGAAAGCGGTATCGGGGCAAAGGCAATAGAGAGACTCGCTATGACACCTCAAGTCGGAAATGAGGGCCCTGAAGTCATTCCTGTCCTTCAGAGCCCATTTGAACCTGTTGAGCATGGAGAGACGGCTCTTAACTTCGTTCACAACGGGGTTAATGTCTTCGATTGTAAGGTCCTGGAGGCTCAGACCGACATTGTTGGTCAACTGTGACGTGTCTTGGATGGTGCGCGTTGGGTGAAGCTGGATTCCGTAGCGCTTGATGAGTTTCTCCTGGTTTGAAAGTGTATCGGCAAGAGCAGAAAGAGTGTTGAAGACGCCTTCAGCTTTGAACCGATTGCCCAAAAGGTATTCATGCAGTTTCGTCCGCTTTTGGTTGGTGTGAATGAGCCCTGGCTGCTGCGATCCATCACTGTCATCATGTTCAATCTGCCAATGAAAACCCCAGGCTTTCAGAATTGATTGCTGAATTACCAATTCCCGAAGATGCGTTGACGCTGCTGTTTCTGCTGTCATCACAGTTGTGAAGAAGCTGTAGCAGTCCCGGCATGTCGTGTAGAGGCCTACAATGCCAATCGCAAGACCAGCAGCCTCCATGATGACGATGGCTCAGATGAGTTAGAATTTTGCTCGGCAGTGTTAGATGAGGTCGGATTTATGCGTTGAGAGAGGCCGATGGAGAGAAAACTTTTAGCGAAGTCGACTATTTATAAAGCAATTAGAACACTACCGCCGTGATTGTCAAAAATCAGCCTGTTGATGCATGGCGCCAGGGCTGTGCCATGACGACCAGTAAAGATGACGGGCCTTTCGTGCTGCCTCGCAGCCCGCCTCATTTTGATAAACGCTGAAACCAATAACAGGAGCTCTATGACCTGTAAGTCTTGAATGTGCATTCTGCCTTATGGCCAGGCGCGTTGGAGCCTGAAAGTCAATGTAATGTCCAGATCGCTGGGAATTCCGGCAGGCCCAAGTCACAGACTATCCCTTTAGTGCCGAAATGAAACGTCAGTATACTAGAAGATCGATAGTAGAGTAGCAGAAAATATCAATAGCTAATTATATATATCGTACTAGATTAGCAGTATAAATAAGACTAAGTATAATAGCGATCCTAGTAATAACTCGTACTAGATAGAGGTATACATAATACCTGGAACACAACATGGTCCACTAATAATCACGCTGCGAATAGAGATACGTTAAGATAATGAGTGAGGCCCTATCCTGGGTCATCAAGTAAAAGAGCAATATAGGATAAGACTTTGTGTAAAGTTATAATTCTTCTATTAGATTAGATGTGCTCTAAGCTGAAAGGCGAACTCTAGTAAGTTAATAAGACATTCGATATCATCTCAGGCGCTAGCGGCTGGCGTATTGAGCACGTAGCCTTGTGACTCGTATAGAAATATCGATGCCGGACCAAGGTTAGCAGCGACTCCGAGGCCTTCTATGATTTCTTCCAACTCGAATCGATGTTTCTGGATTGAAATGATGTTTTCTGAGTCGAAGGTGCCTGCGGTGGTTGATCAGGGGAAGGTTCTGGAGTTGGGATTAGTGACGACCTCCCATCTTGTGCATCAGGCTCCTGTCCGTGGGAGGGGGCCTGTCAGCGAAGGCTGCTACGTGGATGCTTACCATTGGCACATGGAAGTGAGGAGGTCGGGCCAGCTTTTGCCCGTCTGGCTTGGTCTTTCTCTCCCTCGCCTTTTGCCGTCCTAGGAGGGCCTGTGGTTGTATGCAGTGTGACCAGATTCCAGCGCCGGTATCACCGAACCAGTGGGATCAGTCTATCAGGATTTGCTCGATACGCGATTCAATCGACTTGGCCAGTAACAACACCGATGGATGCGCGACAGATCAATGTCTTGATGAGTCCGGTGATTTGTTTGTGTTTTCATGTGATGTTGAAGTTGCCGTCTTCTGCCAACTTACTGGTTCAAGAAGGAGCATCGTCAGGGGTGGGGCCTGGAACTGGGACCAGCGCCGCAGCGCCGCATGCCGCTAATCTCCAGGTGGCTCGACCTGGGTCATCGGTTTGGCAGCTACCACACCACAACACTCCGAGTCGCCATCATCGCCACAGGCTCTTCCGCACGGCATGTTCCCCATCAACGCATCACGACTTTCTATCAATCGAAATCAGATTCGCTAACTATGAGGGCCTACTATCGGCAATGATGACAGACAAAAAAGACGCTATACTCTATCCATCCCGCCCGAGTCTCCATGATGGTGGCAAATGCCTAATCAGGCCCAGCCTCGTCTGATCCTATCTACCATCTCTTCGAAATTATCTGCCCGCCAGGCATCATCAAGCCAAGCTCTATATTATTCCCCTCCCCCAAGAGAAAAAGCCTTCATGACAAAAGAAACAGCCCACAACACGCTACCTCAACGGCTTATTCGCGAAACCAACCCTTGGCTGCACCTCGCGGTCGGCTTCCACATAGTCGAAAACGGCAAACTGTGCCTTCAGTAGCGCAGCGCCAAAGATGGCGAATGGGATGCCAGCCGAGCTCTGGATGCCGCCGAAGCAGTGCGTCTCGTTGACCTGGTTGTACCGCACGTACCGGCCCGGCAGCTTGCCACGATAGTCGCCGAGGCCAAACGTCCAGTCGGGCAGCGTGGCGTCACAGGGGAACAGGTACGCCGCCCATGACGGGCTAAACCGCGCCCCCTCGACCTGGTCGTAGTACGCGTCAACGTGCTCGTCCGGCAGCATGAGCAGCGTCGTACCCGTGTCGACAATTACGCGGTCGAGCGTCGTCGTCCTGTTATACGCGCCGCCGCCAATCTGCGTGCCGTCGACCTTGATCTCCCAGTACGGGTTGCGCTTTGTCACCGGCGTGTACCCGATGCGCCCTGTGTACTCGTTGCGCGCAACGAACCCAAAGTTGTAGTTGCCCGGCCGCCCCGCCTGCAGGTTGGACGTGAACACGGGCGACGCCAGCGCCGGCATGACGTTCTCAAAGTACGTCTTGACTGGCCGCGGCTTGACCGTGTTACCACGTCCAAACCCGAGGCCCAGGATGCCTGATGCGAACGAGTCGCGCGTGAACGACGGTGACACCTGCGACGCCGACTCGACCGCCTGCGCCGCGAACGACGTCTTGCCTAACGCCACGCGGTCGTTGTACACGTTGCCCGAGGCGCCGGACCCGTCGCCGTATGTGATGCGCCACGTGAGCCCGTCTTGCAGCACCGATGTATTGGACAGCTCAGGGCTATAGATGCGGTGATCGCCGCGCTGCCACTCTGGTGTCTCGGACGAGAAGGTCCAGAGATCGCCGGACCCTGTGTCGAGGTTGAGGAACACCGTCTGAGGCGGCGACCCGATCTGCACTGGCACGACGTACTGAATGTCCACGTTGCGCGGCGGGAATGCCTGCACCGTACCAAACGACGCTGACTTGTCGTCTGTTGTTCCTGCTCCTGTTAGTCCGAGTCTTTTGCCTGCTCGATACGGGTCTGGAGATGCTCACCTCGTTGTACGAGCCCCTTGAACCGAGCGTTGACGTGCTTGCCAATGACGATGGCCTCGCGCACCTTGGCAGGCAGCTCGGCGTTGTACTTGATATACGCCCACACCAACTCGTCGAGACCCGTCTGTCCGGCAAAGTCCCTGTTCTCGACCTGTCGCAGCGTGAAGGTGCTGCCGTCAATATTGGCCGGCTCGGCAACGGCAAGAGGTGACGCCGCCGCCACCGCCGCGAGACAGTTGAGGTACGTGAGATAATGCATCTCGACGAAAGAACGCAGCCGGCTGCGTGAATCTTGAGACGGGAGAAAAGCGGTGATGGGGTTGTAGTAGGTTGCTTGTGCACACAGGTATGTCCCCTTCCTCCTCTTCTGTGGACTGTCGCTGCATTTAAACACCATGGACCTCCGTCGATCTGGAATGATTCTCATCGCGAGGGCAACTGCGCTCCCGTGCGCCGGCCACTTTACACGGTCCAGAGCGTGGGAGCGCAGGCGCGCGAACAGAGGGAGAGCTCAGGTCTCAGGCTTAAACGGGACTACCGATCATGAAGAATGGATGAGCCGCGATCGCTCAGGGGAACGGCATCTCATCTCAGCGGCTATGCGTGAGATGTGAGACATTGGAGGTTATTAGTCCTCCATGGCCCGAAGAACCATTATTGAACAATGCCAGCGGCTGCGCGCGCGAGTGGCATTGCCCAAGTGTTGAGATATTCGGGAGGACCGATTGGCGATATATTGGGGCCATGCCTGACGTCTTGGCAAGGTTCGTCTTATGGCACCAGATCGACTTAATCCCTGGCGGGTTAGGTTCGACGAACGATTTCCCGAGGGAGCTCTGGAGACGACGATGGAACCCCTTCATTCCAGTGGCTCTTTTACCACGACTCGGCGTCATGACGTCCAATTGTAATCCACCGTGGACTCCACTGAGGGAAAAGATCCAGCAGGCTGTACATGGCCAAGAGGGCAAATCACCGAACTGCATCGCCAGGTTCTCCCCCGTCCGTCTGTCATGCTGGACGACCACCACGTGTTACGACGTCGAATATTCCCTGACTATCACTCCCTGGATAACAGTGCAGTTTCATGTCCCCCGGCGTCAGCTGCGCCCTTGATCCGTCTGGTTGCCAATTATTCCCTCCGCATTATCTTGATCAGATCCAACAACTGATGTAGCTGAAGAACCTGGCCTGTCTCCTCCACCATTTACCCTGCGACTTTCGGCGTAGTTAAACTAGATACATCTAATCCGCTCCGAGTAGTCTGTTCTGCGAAGACAGCTACCGGCGCTATCGAGAGGAAGTGCCGGCCGGCTCGAGTGCCCGTCCCACCGACATTCCATCCAGCACGCAAGGTTGCGTGGCAGAGTAGCAGCGAGCCTAGGGTACCTGCTAATCACCAATACACGACCGCGCATGCCACGATGATAGCCCCCTGCCATACATGTACTCATTTTAGCAACGTCGGACTCCAGGCTCAGCTTGTTGCGCACACCAGCAACGCTGTCAACGCTGGGCCTGGCTGCGACGATATTAGACGTCAGTGATTGGGGATGCATGACTGCGCACTCGTTGGGGATGCGACATCGTGATGCCACTTGACAATCTCGACTATCAATCCGAAAATGTCGTGGCTAGGTAGTCAAGCGACCGGCCTTTCGGAGGGTTTTGACGGAGCGGAGGAGCTGAGCTTATAATTCTGCCTCAATATTCAACTCTGCGCGATGTGCATGGCGTTATCGTGTTCGGACGTCTGGGCGCAAACAGTCATGTGTATTTTGACAACAAGGAGCTCGACTCGGCCGCCGGTGGTGACGCCATCCTGTTGGTACGAATGCTCCTAAACGACCACGGCTTGTCAGTGCTGAAAGATTTCTGCCAGCAACGAGATTTCCCCTTGAGCCTGATCTGCGCGGCTACTGGAAGGATCTGACAATCACCTCTTATTTTTCTTTTTTTCAGAGCGGTTGATCTTAGAAATTGGGAAATAGCATCTTGACTTGCAAGTGTGCCACCTCCCCAGAGGTTTTCATCGTCAAGTTCGTGATGCGGCGTGAAACACCATCACCCTCGGTGTGGGAAGCTTGGCCTTCTCCACAGGGGCACCATAGC